AAACCCCTCATAGAGTGAGTGAAGCAACGCAATCAATATGTATGTGTATGGAATGAGAGGCACCGAGGGGCTCAGATAGGAAAATGAACTCCACACCCGAAGGTCCCCCACAGTCCACCTCATGACTGGGAGTTGGAGATCCTATCATCATCGCCACCATGCTGCAACGCTGTACTGATGAGTCTATCCTGGGCACGATCACCTGCAGAAACAACAGTAGCCGTCGAGCCGCTTAGCGGCATGGCTCGAAGGCTGGCCGCACGAGTCGTGATATCTTCTAAAGAAATCTGAAATTGGAGAGGAGAGGCATAAAAGGCCATGAAGGTGCTGCCAGAGGGGGAGGTATACTGGAGGATGGGGTGTCTCGAGCGAGCCTGCAGTGCCCTCAGTCCAGCATCCTGAAGCTGCCCACGCTGCGCCATGCTGAGCATACGCTCAGATCCTGCGATGTGCGTGAGCCTGGCATCTAGCCCTCCAGCTCTTCGTCGCTCATGTCCTCGTCGTCCGCTTTGTTCATGCCCATCCTGCCGAGGAGCTTGAGCGCCTCCCTCTCGAGGCCGCCCTTGGGAGGACCCCCTGGTTTGTACTTGCCGCCGATCTTGAAGAGGGCCTCGCACACTGCCTGGTGCACTGTGCCCACGGGCGTCGTGTCGAAGTAGATTTGGCTGCTCTGCAGCTGTGAGCTCAGCATGAACTGGAGCTTGTAGTGTGTCGGCTTCTCCTGCTTGCGCTTGTTGTAGTATGTGGGCCGCATTCTGCAATACCGTATCTGGTCCTGCAGCTGGTGAAGCGAGCTCCTGTCTCCTGCGATGTTGGCCTCCCAGTAGACCTTCAAGGCCTTCTTGGACGTCTCGGGGGTCTCTGGGTGCTCGAGCAGCGCCGTCAACAGCGCCAGCCACATGTGCGTCCATGGTGGGCCGTATGTGTGGTCGCGCCCCGCCTCCTTGCAGCTCTCGTAGTACTGCTTCCCTGCTGCGAGGACTGCCAGCACCAGTGGATGAGCGGCGGCGAGAATGAAACAGCTGTAGCAAGCGCCAATGAGGTCGGCCATGTCCCTGCTGTTGTTGAGACACAACTTGGTGAGAACTTTTACCAGTGCTTTGAGTGGTCCAAGGGAATGGCGCTGCATCGTGTCTTCCGTGGCTTGCTTGAGCTGCTTGAGGCGCCGCGGGCTCTTGGGCCCTCGCTCTCCAGCTGCTTCCCCTTCTGCTGGTCGTGCTTTGGGTTTGCTGACTGCTGGAAGCCCCCAACTGGGCGCCTTGGGCTTCCACTCCTCGCTGCTGGCCGCCGCCGCTGCTGCTGCCCCTTCTGGCATCTCGCACGTCGTATATAATAGGAAGAACAGTGAAGTGCTCACGAAAATGTTGATGAAGACAAACTCGATCGAGCCGATATGTTGGACAGAGCGGACATGTGTAATTGGCATGGTCATCTTGGCCTGCGGTCCTGAACGTGTTCGATTTGCCCTGGATGCATATCCCCGTCCTGAACGAGTCCTTGGTGTGTTTATACGCTGAGTTTCTGGACTCGAAAATCTGCCCACAAATAAAACACTGATTATCAATAGTGAGCAATCCCAGAATATTTAGTAACCCATGATGTTGATGTAGATGGCTAGTAAGCTGTCTTCTAGTACCAAAACTTTTACCACAACCACTAATACAGCATCGATAATCATCGCCATCTCGGTGTTCTGGGAGATCAGGTTCTTGGGGATCTGGCCTGGCCTGGTATCCAGGGGGGGGAACACACACTGTGTATGTGGCCGCTCTCAGCTCGGCGATGTCGATTCTTCCGAACCAGTTCGAAAGTTCAGGGTCATCGAATAGCTGAAGGGGGCGACGGTCCCAGTGCTCGATTTTTTCAGCATGTTCCCCCCCCAGCTGACTCAGACTCTGTACGTCCTCGACAAATCGGTGAGCCCATGGTGACGCATGTCCTGTGAGGTGCCCTTGTTCATCAATGATCTGGATACCTCGCTCGCGTTCAACCTTGATGGCAAAGAATAGAGCCCCCCAGTCAGCGGCATGATAGTGGGGTTCACGTATCCATTTCTGATACCACTTTAGACGACGGACTCGGAGCTCAACTTCTACTGGGGCTACTCTCCAGAGCTGCAGCACACGTTGGGATGTGATCGACCTGCGGTGTCCGTTGTGCCACTCAGTAGCAGCACCTCGAAGAGCTCGTCTGCCACAATCCACAACTCGATTCTGTATTCTAGCTAGCTGAGCAGCAGAAGGAAGGAATGCTTCAAGCGCTGAGACTGCTGGTCCAACTACTCTGCTCAAAAACATGGCCCTCTTCTCTACATAAGGGATGCGTGGCTGGTACCAGTACCGCCCCATAGACCAATATCCTGCAGAGACCGCCGAGAGTCGAGCTTCGAGTTCACTGCTGAATTTACTGTCATACCGAACGAGTGAACCGAGGTATTTAGCCACATCATTGGGTACCCCCGCCATAGGTAGGCCTCCAGACTTTATACTAGCTTTGCGGGCTTGTTGTCCAGGTCCCTGGAAGGAGATAACGCTTTCGTTCTTGGTGGGGTTGAGGCGGTAATTGCGACGAGCCAGACAATCTGCAAGAATAGTATCATACAAGAGAGATTGGCGACTGAGAGAGATGGCCCCATTCTCCGACGGGTGTGCAACCAGCTTGCGCAGCGCGTCATCTACATAACTATGAAGAGACAGGTCAATCTCTAGTACCTCTTGTCCCTCTGGGTGAAGCTCGATCGTACACCAGTCTGCCGTGGGCTCCCCCGACTCGAGGTATTCAGCTTGCGCCTCCTCGAAGCAGTCTCCGATGTCCCGAACAAAAACCTTGACGGCCCAGGGGTCTCCTTGTAGCGCACCTACCCACGGTTTGGCAAATCGATACCCGTCAACTCCACGAAAACAGACTGCCGAAAACTTGAACCTCTGCTCCCCATAGTAGTGCTCCCCCTCCCTCATGACCTCCTTGTTGGCTTTTTCTAGGGCATCCCAGCTGCTGGACCCAAAGGCGTTGCTGATATCCTTATGGTCGTTCACAAACTCAAGTCCTAGCTGCCTTAACCTCCATCCAAGAGCTTGCTGGGCGAGTAGAGGGGTCTCTCGACGACGACGAGCGATACATCCATGCGAGGAGAGGGGCTCTTCATCTTTCTGATCAGGGTCGATACACGTGGCGATGAATGCCTTGCCAAATGGACAGAGCACGTGCACCACGCGCTTCCAAGAGAGTGCAGCAGCTTGCGAGAGGTGCCAAACCAGTGGGACCTGCCGAGAACGTCGAATCTTGTGCATGAGTGAAACCAGAAAACCTCGTACAACCTTGAGCTCGATGTTGGGGGCCTCGTACCCTACCCCTCGGAACCGTTTGGACGTACGCTTGTATGGGAAGAAGATCGTCCAAAAAATTTCCATGGGAACCGACCATTCTGGAACAGCTCTTCGACGCCCAGACTTCTGCAAATACTTGCGAATCTGCTGCAGCTTTTTCTTGGCCCACTCAAGGCCCTCCTCAGTGTTGCCCCAGAAAAAGACTGGCTTCCTGTCCGTCGGTGGGGTGATAGAGGTAGTCATTGGCATAGGTAACCCATTCAATTGGTTCAGCCTGCATTCCTCCCTGAGCGGACGGAAGTGCCCATCTATCTTGCAGCTCCTGACTGGTAGGCAGGGCAGAGGGAGGGCGCCTGTAGTTCCTTTTTTTCGGCCCCGTCCCACGAGCCGAGAGCAGTCGCGAAAGCCTGGCGACCTCCGCCTGCCTGCCTACCCTAAGTGCTTCGTGGAGGTCATCTGTGACGTCCTGTCTCCACTGGTGTAAATACTGCCGACGAAGAGATCTGAGCTGCCTAGACTTGGTGCGGATCTCCTCTGCAATCGAGAGGACGGCCTCAGAAGAAATATCAGTAGTGATCTCCAGTCGAAGCCTACGACGTTGTCGGAGCAATTCCAATATGTGCTGCGCTTGCTGAGGGTAATCTGGAGACCTCTGAACTGTGCCTGCGAAGAATTTCTCTGCCGTATCCCTGGGCACCCTGATGAAGATCCCCCACTCTGCATTGGGCGTTTGCTCCTCCCTCCTCCTTCTCTGCCACTCCTCCTGCTCCTCGATCATCTTCGCCTCCAGTGCCTGCAGAAACTCGGCTCTTTGAGTGCCCATGCGCAGACAATCCATCAACGCCTCTTTGTTCCAGCGGACATGCCTAGGTACAAATCCCACTCTCTCGTCTGCCTGGAGTCCCGTAGCCTCTGCACCTGTGGTAGAGGCCAAGTCATACGAGAACCTGAGGTGGAGGGGGATGTGATCTCGATGATCTTTGTGGCGGATGAGTTGAAGCTTTCGAGCGAGCCGTCGGAGCGGACCTGCTGATGTCACCTGGTCCAGGGAACATCTGGGAATAAACACATAGTCGAGCATAGAAGTACTACCTGATGGGCTATAATATGTGGGCCCAGCTCCTAGGTGAAGATTGACGGGGACAAAATCCAAATCCTCGAGAATCTCTAACATTACATCAGCCGCGTAGCGTTGCCGAACGGGTTCTACTGTCGATCCGAGACGATTATCTTTCACTGCAGTCCAGTCTTCGCTGCCGTGTAGCCTCTGAAGCCCAAATCCAGAATTTAAATCCATGTCCAGGATGGGGAAACAACGCGAAACCGCCAGGAAGGGCAGCCCTCGGATCCAGTTCCCTATCCGATCACAAGTTTTTTGGTAACCCGCCATCTCAGAAGCTCGCTGCGGAGGAGGAGGAAAGTACACACTGGCGACCCCTATATCATACTGACTGCATCGGGCCCTGAGTGCGACCCCTCTCCCAGCGATGTGGGGAGGGGCAGCCCATGTGTGAGTGACTGTACCACGTCTCATCCGTGGCCCCAGCACGATGGTGCAGCCCGAGCTCTTGTTGCTACCTGGGGCGCGCGCCCACCCTGCTTCCACTGCCCATCTCTTCCCTGCTCTTCTCCACACCACCTCCTCTGTGCCATACTTTCGAGCTCCAGTCCCTGTTAGACATACAAAGTCGAAGCCCGTAGTGGTCTGGGCTATGTCCTGCAGTCGGTCATAGGAGCTCGCCGACATTGGATTGTACTGCAACACTGAAACTCCTTGAAGCCTGCTCATGATAACGCTGCTGATGGCCAGCAGCGACCGCGAGTACAACTTCACCCAAGACGATTCCATCATCGAGGGAAAGACATTGGGGCTGTGGGGCTGAGGAAAAGCCCGAAAGAAGTGTGGGCAGGGGTAGTTGTGATCTTCGTTAGCGGGTGTGTCCCCCCGCTGTGCAAAAGGGGCTTAGGAGGAGGAGGAGGAGGAGGAGGAGGAGGAGAAGGAGGAGGAGGAGGAGGACGAGGAGGAGGAGGAGGAGGAGGAGGAGGGAGAAGGAGGAGGAGGAGGAGGAGTCCGATTTCCTCCCCGCCGACGGCGCCGGTGCGTCGCCGACGTGGCCGATGCATCGGCGATGCGGCGCGATCCTCCGACCCCATCTGGGAGGCCTCCTCTCCCTCGGCCTGCCCTTAAGTCGGGCCTGTCCCCCGACAGGGGGATCTTCGACGAAGAATAAAGAATACCCCAAAAATAGTCAAACAAAAATCCCAAAATAGTCTGTGGACTATTTTTTTGTTGTACTTTTGGACCTTTTTGGTGTACTTGTTGTGTGTGTTTTATTTGTCGTCGAAGATCCCCATGTAGGGGGACAGGCCCGACATAAGCTGGCTCCTCGCCAGCCCCACCCCTGCACCTGGAGATGCTGCGCGCCTGGGAGCCGGGGCGGCGCCCCTGCCAGCTCTGCATGTCCTGGCATCTCCCGGACGTGTGCCTGGTTATCCCTGCAGGGGCCATCGAGGAGCAGTTTGTCGTGGAGGGAACAAAACACACACACAATGAATCGTCGACCCCCAGAAGATATGGGGAAATATCGGAAGCGGGGGGGAAGACGAAAGCCCAGGAAATATAGGAAAATCTGGGGGATCCTGTTGCTTGTGTTTATTTATTTGGGTGTCCCAGGGCCCCTTCAGTTTGGGCCTCCCTGCGAAAGAGCACACGACGCCGATATAAATGCACCGGGGAAGGGACGCTCGAGCGCTGGCGAGGCGCCTGGTGCCGCCTCTCGAGGCCATGCTGCCTGCGAGCTTTGGTGGTGGCACGGCAGCCGGCGCCCCGCCACGCCCCTCGCCCCTCTCGCATCTGCTCATGGCCTCTCCCCCTCCTCCCTTCCTCTCTCGTCCTCCTTCCCGGTCGTCCTCCCTTCTGCTCCCCCCCCCTCCTCCCTCGTTGTCGCTTGTCCCTTTCCCTCTCGTGCGCCTCATCATTCCTCGTGCTCCTGTCCGCATGATCCCCTATCCCGCCTGCTCAAGCAGTGGCGAAGCGTCCTGGCGTGCCTATAGATAGTCTTACCAAACAATGTTCTAAGAACCTTTTTGTGGTTTCCACGAGATGCTCTCAGAGCATTTTTGGCTGGGACTGCCTGGTTCTAACACATCGGCTTTATGCTCTAAGAATGTTGTTTTGGTTATTGGAAATCTTCGGGTTCTAAGAACATGTCGTGGTAGGCCTATAGGAATGCCGGGACGGTCGGTCCCTGCTCAACATCCGGCGCCCTTCCCCTTCCCCCTCCGCCGCATGACCCCTCGACCGGAGCCCTCGGCCCCGCTGTTCTGCGATGTGTTCCGAGCCGGGTCGATACGCCGGGTCCTGGGGCCCCGAGGAGTCCCATGCCAGAACCGTCGTCGTGGACATGCCGCGACGCCGCCAGGGGTCCGGCTTCGACGGCTTCGCCGCAAAGTGTGGGCACGCGCGGAGCCAGCTTGCAAGAGCAGGAGGTTCCCTCCCTCTTCGCGCTCAGGGGTGTATATGCCCTCTCTGTCTTCCTTTATTATCTCTGCCCTCTGTGCACTGCCTCGTATCATCCTCACCGTCATCGTCCCTCCCTCCTCCCTCCCACTCCCTCTATTCCACCCCTCGCCCCCCTCGCATCTGCTCATTACCTCTCCCCCTCCTCCCTTCCTCTCTCGTCCTCCTTCCCAGTCGTCCTCCCTTCTGCTCCTTCCCCCCCCCTCCTCCCTCGTTGTCGTGTGTCCCTTCCCCTCTCGTGCGCCGCCTCATTCCTCGTGCTCCTGTCCGCATGATCCCCTATCCCGCCCTGCTCCTTCCTCCTCCTCCTCCTCCTCCTCCTCCTCCTCCTCCTCCTCCTCCTCCTCCTCCTAGGCTGTGCCACTCATGAGTTGCGGACCCCCCAAGCTGCCGAGGTCATGCACCGTGCTTTCGAGGAGAGCCGAACCGAGCCTCCTCCTCCAGCCGCCCTCCTCCTGAGTTCTCCTTCCCCTCCTTCTCCGCCACCCTATGCCAGCCTTGCTTCCCCCCGCGCCCTCCCACCTTCGAACCTCCCAGCGCCCTCCCACCTCCTCCTACCACCACCTCATCCTTCTCCTCCTCCCCCTCCCCCTCCCTCCTCATCCTCCTCATCTCCTCATCCCCCTCCCCCTCCTCTCCTCCTCCTCTTCCTCCTCCTCCTCCTCCTCCTCCTCCTCTCCCCTTTCTCTCTCCTCCTCCTCCCCTCCTCCTCCTTCCTCCTCATCCTTCATCATCATCATCATCATCATCATCCTCAGCCGCAGCCGCAGCCGCAAGCCGCAGCTCGCCAGCCGCAGCTCGCAGCCGAATCCTCTCCCTCCTCCTCCTCCTCATACTTCATCCTCTCCCTCCTCTCCCCCCCCGGCTCTCTCTCTCTTTCTTTCTTCTCTTTGTGTTCTGTTTTTTCTCGCTCTCCTCTCTCTCTCTCTCTCTCTCTCTCTCTCTCCTCTCTCTCTCCAGAGTAGCGCAGTGCACGCGGGCCTCCCCGGGCGCCCAGCGCCGGCGCTGCCCGCGGACGGTGCGCTCAGACCGCCCCGGCTCCGCCGGGTGCCCCAGCGCGTCTCCGAGGCAGCCCGCGCTCGGCGCGGCCTCTGAGCCCGGCGTGCTTTGCCAGGGGGGGGGGGAGGAGGAGGAGGAGGAGGAGGAGGAGGAGGAGGAGGAGGAGGAGGAGGAGGAGGAGGTAGGAGGAGGAGGAGGAGGAGGAGGAGGAGGAGGAGGAGGAGGAGGAGGAGGAGGAGGAGGAGGAGGAGGAGGAGGAGGAGGAGGAGAGGAGAGGAGGGAGGAGGGGGAGGAGGGAGGAGTAGGAGGAGGGAGGAGGGAGGAGGGAGGAGAGGAGGGAGGAGGAGGGAGGAGGAGGGAGGAGGAGGAGAGGAGGAGGAGGAGAAGCGAGGAGAAGGAGGAGGGGGAGTAGGAGGAGGAGGAGGAGGAGGAGGAGGAGGAGGAGGAGGAGGAGGAGGAGGAGGAGGAGGAGGCGGAGGAGGAGGAGGGGGAGGAGGAGGAGGAGGAGGAGGAGGAGGAGGAGGAGGAGGAGGAGGAGGAGGAGGGGGGAGGAGGAGGAGGAGGAGGAGGAGGAGGAGGAGGAGGAGGAGGAGGAGGAGGAGGAGGAGGAGGGGGAGGAGGAGGAGGAGAGGAGGAGGAGGAGGAGGAGGAGGAGGAGGAGGAGGAGGAGGAGGAGGAGGCGGGGGAGGAGGAGGATGGAGTAGGAGGAGGAGGAGGAGGAGGAGGAGGAGGAGCAGGAGCGAGGAGGAGGAGGAGGAGGAGGGGAGGAGGAGGAGGAGGAGGGAGGAGGAGGAGGAGGAGGAGGAGGAGGAGGAGGGGGGGAGGAGGGGGAGGAGGAGGAGGAGGATGAGGAGGAGGAGGAGGAGGAGGAGGAGGAGGAGGACAGGGCGAGGGTGTTGAGTGCCGACGCGGAGTGGCGCCCGCACCGCAGAGAGGCGGAATAAGCAGCTTTTGGCCACAAGCACACAACAACCAGCAGAGCAGCAAGATTCGAAAAACTTGTGAACCGAATGCTAAATATGAAACTACTACGAACATTAATCGACCTGATAGGAACACGAAGAAACATAACGATGCACATCAATAGCACGAACAAACAGATTGAGCATGAGCGATCAGGATAAGGAGGATAACGCGAAAATTATACATACGAAGGATGGTACGCAAGACAACGATCTGGGAAGACAGGTGAGGGGCCAGGATCAGAAGCAGGAAGACTAGAAGTGGGGCGGCGGAGGAGGAGCGGGAGAAGCACGAACAAACAGATTGAGCATGAGCGATCAGGATAAGGAGGATAACGCGAAAATTATACATACGAAGGATGGTACGCAAGACAACGATCTGGGAAGACAGGTGAGGGGCCAGGATCAGAAGCAGGAAGACTAGAAGTGGGGCGGCGGAGGAGGAGCGGGAGAAGAGGTAGGAGGAGGAGGGGAAGTCATGTTAATTAGCCATGTCGAGCGAGTCTGAGGGCTTTGCCCACCCCCACCCCACCCTCCCACAACACAGTAACTAAACGTGGCACAGCTTGACAGCAGGACTGGAACGCGCTCCCACCGCGCAGACGGACGGCGCTCGCGTGCGGCCCCCCGCCTCCGACGACCTGCCGAAGGGAACATCACGCGTGCAGCGCAGGGCCGGGAGCGCCAAAATGTCTTATGGGCGCGGGGAAGACGAAGCCTGCGCCGCGCTGACACAGCATTGCAACTTGCACTCACGAGCTCCGCGGCGCTGGGGCGAGGCGGCATCTCGCCCGCTCTCGCGCGGCCCCGCTGCCGCTGTCGCTTTCCAGGCGCTTCGGCGAGCGAGCCATATGCGCCGCGCCCGCGCTGGAGCGCCGCTCCCGGGCGAAAGGCGCACGGAGCTTGGGCGACGGCGACACTTCGCCCACTCGCGCGGGCCCCCCCCAAAAAAAATGCGAGCGACAGATCCGCGCCACGTCGGGGCAGGAGCGCCACTCTGCGGCGAAGCCTGCGCGGCGCCGACGCGAGAGCGGCATTTTCTGCTGCCCGCGCATCGACAAGGTTGCGCGCGAGATGCCCGCGCCGCGCCCAAGTTGGAGCTCAATGATCTAGAAGAACCAGCGCGGCGCCGAGGCGAGAGCGACATTTCAGCCTCTCGCGCGGGATGTGCGCCGCGCCCCACTCGTGCCACACATTTTGTCACATGGACGACATGGTGTCCATGTTAGGGGGCCACGTGTGAACCCGACCCCTCCCTCCCACGATTTCTGAGAAGGGGGTGGGGTTCACTGCGCTCGGGAGCTCCCGAGCGAAGTGAACCCCACCTTCCCCGTCAGAAATCGTGGGGTGTATGGGGTAAGGTTCTCATGTGGCCCCCTGCGTACCAAAACGAAAAACATCGAGGTTGCCTTGTTGCTTGCCGGGTAGGATGGGGCCACCCGGATCGGGGTGCCATCGGCCCGCTAGGTGGCAGAGTGACAGTATATCCCAATATGGAAGAAGGATCGGGAGAGGGAGGAGGGAGAGAGGGAAGAGGAAGAGGAGGAGGCGGAGGAGGAAAGGACTTGTGTAAACCCAAGATCCATCAACGATGTTGCAATAAGCATCCTCCCAAGTTCCCTCATCGCAGGCCCATTACAAGGATTCATTATCAACGGGGGAAGTGCCCCTCTGGATGATAACCGTTGAAGACCCTGGACCGTGCCAGAACACCATCCTTGGAACGCCAACGCCACGAATCACCCCTACTGTTGCGTTTTGACGATCTGGAATGGTGCCAAAACATATTTCCTGGGACTTGAACGCCGCGAATCAACGTAACTGTTGCGCCCTGGCATTCCGACATCGTGCCGAAACACCGTTTCTGGGACTTTAGCCATGGGAACCCTTGGAACCGTGTTGTAAGCTTTGAAGATGAATGCGCGCGACGCTGAGGCGAGAGCCACGCATATAAAAAGAATACGCCCTCCGTCCGCAAAGCTTATGCTACTTGTAAATGCAAACGTGCGCGGCGCTATTGCGAGGGCCGCATTTTGAAAGCGGCCCGCCCTCCATCCGCGGAAATGTTGTAAATTGTTTGAGACGACTGTGCGTGGCACTAAGGCGGGAGCCACATTTCAAAAGCGGACCGCGCTTCATCCGCGAAGCTCTTGCAATCTGTTAGAACGAATGCGCGCGGCGCTGAGGTGAGAGCCACCTGTTGAAAGCGCCCCGCCCCCCATCCGTGAAACTGCTGCAGATTCTAAGCTTCAGATCATAAGTGGCGAGGAAGTCTCAGGCGAAACGCCCAGCCCACCCTGCCGACACGCTTCGGCGTGCGACTTGAAGGAGTTAGTTGTAAGAAAAGGTATGGAGGAGGCGGAGTTGGAGGAGGAGGACGACGAGGATGAGGAGGAGGCGAAGGAGGAGGAGGAGGAGGAGGAGGAGGAGCGGCAGCAGCTGCAGGAAAAGCGTGATCAGGGGAAGGAGGGGGAGTAAGGGAGGATGGGGTGGAGGAGACTGAGGAGGACTGCATCGTGAACGCCACTAGCGCGCCACGAGGCCCAGCCTGTATCCTCGGATGTTCACTGTGGCCGGAGGCCACTGGGGCGCTCGCCCAGTCACGCAGGAAGTCCGAGAGGGGCGGGAGAAAGGGGGTAAGCGAGGGAAGGGGCTAGGTTACGACAGCGCAAAGAGGCGTCAAGCCGACCTTCGCCGTAACGAGCGGTGGACTAGAGGCATCTGCCTTTACCCTCGCGGGCCTTGCTGATCGAAGTTGCATCGTGCAACGTAGCAGCGATGGCGGACGCGCCGCGTTTTCCGAGAGCGGGTTGGGGTGTGCGCCCAGCGTGAGGGTCGCGGCGATCTCAAGGTGGGGCAGAAAAGCGGCTCAAGCTCACGAGCACTCTTGTTTGCAAGCGCGGCCCCTCTCCCCCGCCACTACGGAGCACGAAGTTCTCGCCAAATCCCTTAATCCTTTGCCACGCGTCGCTCCTCCCATCCCAGTCACCTCGACGCATCTTTGTTCACGCAATATTAGCTAAACTCCAAAAATCCGAATCGTCTTCACACCCGCGCGCTATTCACTAACTGTTGTGCCGCATCCCTGCTCACACGACCCAGAATTAGATTGCGTTCCCCCCCCCAAAAAAAAAACTGCAAGACCGCCACCCGACACGCAGACTGCCTGTTTGCTTCGAACGACCACCATCCCATTCGGCGATTGGTGCCCCGCCCCATTCTTGTGATGTCAAACGTGCACTGGCCTTTCCTGGCGCGTTCTGGTCTCGTCTGGTTGCGTGCGGCCAACTCCCGTGAGGTCGGCCATAATGGCACTATCACATGCCTGATTCTGTCGACTCCGATGCAACACCCCCTAGTCACCTCTTCTTCTTCCTGGTCGTCTTCGCTAGTCCTTCCTTACAAGCGACTCCCCGTCGCACCGTCAGACGTGCCAGCAGGGCGATCTGGGCGTATCGCTTGGGTGTTCCTCGCAACCTGTGCTCCACAAGGTTGGCAGCTCCTCCTCCTCCTCCTCCTCCTCCTCCTCATCCTCATCATCATCATCATCATCATCATCATCATCATCATCATCATCATCATCATCATCATCATCATCATCATCATCATCTCATCACCATCATCATCATCATCATCATCATCATCATCATCATCATCATCATTCATCATCATCATCATCATCATCATCATCATCATCATCATCATCATCATCATCATCATCATCATCATCGCGCTTCACTCCCTTTTTCACTCCTTCCTCCTCCTCCTCCTCCTCTCCTCCTGCTCCTCCTCCTCCTCCTCGCTCCTCCTCCTCCTCCTCCTTCCTCGCTCCTCCCTCCCTCCTCCTCGCTTCTCCCTCCTCCTCCTCCTCCTCCTCCTCTCCTCCTCGCTCCTCCTCTCCCTCCTCCCTCCTCCTCCTCCTCCTCCTCCTCCTCCTCCTCCTCCTCCTCCTCCCTCCTCTCGCCTCTCAGCCTCGCCAGTTTGGCTGTCGCTTCAGCGCTGCGTGCCTTCGCCTCGAAACTCGCACGCCGCTCCACGGGCGGAGACTCTCCGCCCGTTTTTTTCCAGAGCCCGGTGTTCGCCGCGTCGCCCTCGAAGGGTTGCCCGGCCCGCTTGCCACGGCTACACGGATGGATGTCTCGTGCGTCTAAGAAGTTGGCTCACGCTCGAGAGCCGCGCAAAAGGGGACACAAGGTGACATAAACATACAAACTCGGAGGTCCGCCCGGATGTCTCGGATCCGCGCGGGTGTCCCCTTGGCGGCGCCTCCAGCGCCGCCCCCGGCGCGCTCCGCGCGCCAGGGAGGGGGGTCAAGCGCCGATCCGAGAAATCCGCGCGGACCTCCGAGTGTTTATGTTCATGCCTTTCTTTGTTCCCTACGAGAGCCGCACACATTCGCAGAACACAATGTCAGGAGCTGCACGGATGCAGGACGATCGGGATATGGGTCTTTGGCAGCGCCGTGGAGATAGTCAAACGTCGGAGTAGCCCGACCAGCTCCCGCGTCTTAGGGAGCTTGGATTCGTGGGCCTTCTTCTTGGGCACCACCAGGGCGGCACCAGGACTGCGGCGGCCCACCGTTGCAGGCGGCCCAAAATACGGTAACACTCTCTAAGCTCGCACTAGCAACAATAACAGTCTACTGACTGGTCATTCCGTGGATGATTTCGCCAGTGAGAGCGTTGATTGGGTCAGTCCGTCTGCGAGGTGGATGTCAGTTGTTTTTGAAGACGAGTCTTAACGACGCACTGGGGTGTCGGTATTTTCAATGCCGATGCGAGAGAGTTGGTGTGACGCATCGCGCGCGTACGCGCACGCGCGCGCCACTCGCGTCAAACAGGCATGCTGGACGCTATCTTGAGCAGCCTTCGGCTCTCTTGAGCCATCTCGGAGGCCGTCTTCGGTGAGTTCGAACCATATCGGAGCCAGATTGCGCCATTTGAACGCTTTCGCACCTTGCGCCCCCCCCGGTCCAGGCCCGTCTAGACCAAGGGGAGTAACCCCCTCCACAGAAGAGCTGGGTTTAGACGATGTGGACCCTGAATCGCCTACGCCCAGAGGGCTGGTGGGTCTGAGCCCACCATGCCAACATCACCGCCCTCTCGCTGCTGTCATGCTATTTAATGCTGCCGCCGCCACCAGGGAGGTGACGGCGACGGGGGCAGCGGCGGCGACGGCCATCGCCCCGTTCCTGAACCGCCCCTTCTCGTCATTCGTCTCTTCATCGGCCCACCCACACCTCAATTTCCTTCCTCCGTGCGTCTCCGATCCAGCCTCGCCGTTTGCCGTTGCCTCCTCCATGCAAGCAGCCCCTAGCTGGTGCGACTGCTCGTCTGACTTGTTCCTCTGTAGCCACCGCGGCACAAGCTTTGGGGCTGACCTTTCCTCGGCCGTGCCAGCATTCCCGGCTGCGCGGCCATGGCCCAAGCCCTCGACGCCGCCACCCCCAGGGCCGCGCGGGGCTCGGCTCCACCTCCCGCCGCGGACGCGGCGGCCGCAGCGGCCGCCACGCCGGCGGGGATAGCTGCCCTCCCGAGCGGAGTCGGCGGAGGCGGCGGGCACGCGCAGCCGCCCCCCCCGCAGATCTCGAAGAACCGCAACTTGCATAAGCATAAACGTTTGAGGTCCGCGCGAAGTTCTTGGATCTGGTCTGAGTCCCCCCTGGCGCGCTCTGCGCGCCAGGGAGGGGGGGCCCAGCACAGATCCGGGAAATCCGCGCGGACCTCCGGAGGTTGATGCTCGTGCACTTCGTTCTTCTTCGAAGATCGTCGGCGCTGCCCCGGCAGCACCCACGAGCGGCGCGGCAGCCGCGCCTAGCGCGTGCGGCGCGGCCGCGTGCGGCGTGGCCGCGCCAGACGGGGGCCTGCTGCTGCAGCTGTCGGAGGCGATCGCCGCTGGCGAAGCCGAGGCCGCGCGGGCGCTGGCGCGCGAGCTGGCGTTGCGGCGCGCGCCGCTGGCGGTGGAGCTGGACCGGGAGGCCGCCTCGTCCGCCCTGCGGAGGCAGCTGCAGGCTCGCCTGCTGTCCATGGCCGAAGAAGTCAAAACGCCATCAGCATACGTAAACGTTCGAGCGACTGTCCGCGCGGAATTCTTGGAGCTGCCCTGCGCACCCCCCCCCTGGCGGCGCCTCCAGCGTCGCCCCTGGCGCGCTCCGCGCGCCAGGGAGGGGGTGCCAGAGCGGATCCAAGACATCCGCGCGGACAGTCGAAGGTCTCTGCTGATGCCGTTGTGTCTTCCTCTGAATGGGCTACCCGCCCGGCCGCGTCGTGCAGGCGCTGCGGCGCGGCAGCGCGCAGAGCGTCGAGGAGGCGGTGGCGTGGCTCGCGCAGGAGCCGTCAAGTGCGGCGGCCGGCCCGGGCACGCCGCAGGCGGCAGTCGGCACCGAAGGCCAGTGACGCTGTGCGAAGTCTGCGTCAGTGGCCGGGCCCGCCTCGCGCTGCTGCGCTCCGCCGATGCCTCGCCTCCTCCGAATGCTACTGCTGCTGCTCCACAAGGAGGGGGCTTGTGGTGGTGGTGATGATGATGAGGCAGGCGGAGGAGGAGGAGGAGGTGGAGGAGGAGGAGGAGGGTGAGGGTGAGGATGGGGATAGCGACGAGGATGATGGTCGTGGTGGTGGTGGTGATGATGATGATGATGATGATGATGATGATGATGATGATGATGATGATGATGATGATGATGGTGATGGTGATGGTGATGGTGATGGTGATGGTGATGATGATGTTGATGATGGTGATGGTGATGATGATGATGATGATGGTGATGATGATGATGATGATGATGATGGTGATGGTGATGATGGTGATGGTGATGGTGATGGTCATGATGATGATGATGATGATGATGATGATGATGATGATGATGATGGTGATGAGGATTATGATGGTGGTGATGATAATGCTAGCGGTGATGATGATAATAATGATGATGATGAGGATGATGATGATGATGAGGAGGAGGAGGATGATGATGATGATTATGATGATGATGATGATGATGATTATGACGAGGAGGAGGAGAAGGAGAAGGAGGAGGAGTAGGGGAGGAGGAGGAGGAGGAGGAAGAGGAGGAGGAGGAAGACGAGGACGAGGATGAAGATGAGGATGAGGATGAAGACTAGGATGAGGATAACATGAGGATGGGATGGGGCATCGCAGGAGGAGGAGGAGGGGGAGGAGGAGGGGGAAGGAAGACGCAGGAGAGTAGGAGCAGGATGAGGAAGTGACTGAGGGGGAGGGGGCGGGATGCAAACAAGGTGGGGAGGAAAGTACGGATGAGATGAGGAGGAGGACGAGGCAGACAAGGAGTGGACGGACGAAGATGAGGGGAGAACGTAAGTGGAAGAATATCAGAAGGAGCAAGAAGTGGTGGAGGACCAGAGGGAGGGGGAGGGGAGACGGAGGAGAGGAGGAACAGGAGGAAGGAGAGGAAGAGGATGAGTCGGAGGAGGGGAGGGGGCACAAGGAGGGAGGGAATGATCCGAGGAGGAGGAGGAGGAGGGTGGAGCAGAGAAGAAGGCGAGTGGGCGGAGGAGGAGGAGGAGGAGGAGGAGGAGGAGGCGAATTGGCAGCGGGAAGTGACGGAGAGAGTACAGGAGGGAGAAAGAGGATGATGGGACTTGAAGGATGAAGTGCAGGAGGCGGGGGAAAACGGATCAGGAGGAGGGGTGAGGGGATGGCGGAGGCGGGGGAAATGAGGAGGGGGCGAGGACGAGGGGGAGCAGGAATCGTTGCAGCAAGCGAGCACTGCACACGTTCTACCTCTCTCTGCCTCTTTTCTCTCTCTCTCTCTCTCTCTCTCTCTCTCCCTCTCTCTCTTTCTCGCTGTTCCTCTCTCTCTCTCGCTTTCTCTTTCTCTCTCTGACTCTCACGCTCTCTCTCTCTCTCGTTCTCACTCTCTCTCTCTCTCTCTCTCTATATCTCTTTCTCTCTCTCTTTCTCTGTCTCTCTCTCTCTCTCTTTCTCTCTCTTTTTCTCTCTCTCTCTCTCTCTCTCTCTCTCTCTCTCTCTCAATCCATCCAGCAGGTAAACGTACTTGTGTTGCGCGATGTGGCTTCGACGCTGTCCTGTGCGCGCGGTTGCTGCCAACATGTATGTTTTATGGCATGCCTCCGCCGAACAATACCGGTCATGCCTTGGCAGCACACTCGTGCGCGCGGCATGTGTTCGCGCGTGTGTTCGCGTTGGCCTGCGCCTGGAACAGCGTGGCCGAGAGTTGTGTGCGCCAGAGTGGCAGGGATCGCTTCTCTCTTGATGACCCCCTTTAGGGAAGATTGCACTCTGGCGGGTGCGCGTGCCGAGTGTCGGTGCCGAGTGTCGGTGCCGATCGTCGTTGACGCGACGAGTGTCAGCGCCGATCGTCGTTGACGCGGGGGGTCTCTAAAGAGCTGCCCCCCAGACACACAAGCCAAGAGTCTGGTTGATTTCAAGGTCCAGACAGCATGGGGACGAGGGGAAAGCACGTCTCTAGCGGCACAACCTTCAGCACGTATTGCGCGCAAACAGCTCATAATACATGATGCGACTACTCACCCTGGCTCTGTACGCACGGTGTTTGGATTTGCTTTCCCTATGTGCCCAAGGCAGAACGACGAGGAGGAGAAGTCATAAGGGAAAAAACGACACAGCCATACATAAACGTCGATGTCCAAATATTGGCAATGGGGGTAAGAGGAACAACACTATACATGTGTATATATATATATACACATCGTTGTTCTGGCTTGCACTGAATTATGTTCCAGCCGTTTCGGGCCTGTCTGGGTGCCAGAACGCGGCAAAGGAGGCGAAGGGAGGCGACGAGAGGGCCCGAGAGACGTCCAAGAGGGCGCCAAGATGACCCAAGAGCACTCCAAGAAGACCGCACAAGAGCGTTTCGAAATTGGTCCCACATGGCATGAAGACAGCCCAAGAGGGCTTCAAGACGGCCAAGATGCCTTGAAAAGGGCTCCCACGAGGAACTCAGGAGGCGAAAGAAGTATGTATGTTTGATGATTTTCGCTGGTTTGTCGTGTTCTCGCTGTTTCGTGCTTCCGACGGTCCAAGACGCCCACGAGGCCCCAGAAATCAGCTCAAGACGGCCCAAGAGGCACCAAAAGAGGGCGCCACGACGGCGCGAGAGAGCCCCAAGACGGCCCAAGAGCGCCCCAGAACGGCCCAAGAGGCGCCCAAGATCGCCAAAGAGGGCCCCAAGACGGCCCCAAGAGGGGCCCAAGAGGGGGAACACGAACCGACAATTCGAGCCTTCCGCCCCAAGAGGCCCCCAGGAGACCCTAAGAGGCCCCCAACAGAGCCCAAGAGGCCCCCTACAGGCCCCACGAGGCCCCAAAGAGGCTTACAAAGAGGCCCCAGGAGCACCCCAAACGGCCCCCAAGAGGCCTCCGAAACTGCCTCCAAGAGGCCCTCGGGAGGCCTCCCACGAATTCCAAACGAACTTCCAAGAGGCCTCTCACCCACAACCCAGGCACGGTTGCGGGATGGGCCGAAGGCCACTAGATGGTCCAAGACGGCCTCCAGACGGCCCCAGAGGCCCCCCAAGATACCCAAGAGGCTTCCAAAAGATCTCCCAACAGAGTTCGAAGAGGTCAAAAAACATGTGTGTTCCATCGGTTGTTGAACAGTTTTGGCGTTTCGCCCCAAGACGGCCCAATAGGCTTTAAAAGCGTGCCAACACGGCCCAGTAGGCTTCAAAAGCGCCGAAGAGACGCCCAAGACGGCCGGAGAGGGCCCCAACGGCGGCCCAGGATCGGGAACGTGAACCGGAAAACCCGAGATCTTCGTCCCAGGAGATCCCCAGGAGGCTTCAAGGGGTCCCCAAGAAGCCCCAAAGAGGCACAAAAGAGCCCCGAGAGAGGCCCGAGGGCACTTGAGACAAACGGAAATTCCAACATTTGTGTTTTGAAGTTCGCTTGGCAGCTTCGCTACGCTTGCAAAAAGAATGAAAGAAATATCAGATGTCCGCCGTCCGCCTCCTCCTCCTCCTCCTCCTCCTCCTCCCCCAGTTTTTCCTCCTCTGCGGCCTCCTCTGCCCTCTCCAACTCTTCCTCTTCATCCTTCTCCTTTTCTCCCCCCGGGAACCCCTTCACCTCCATATGCGTGGGGGCAATGCGGGAGCACCTTTCTGAAAAACCAGCACAGCTCCATCCTAGAGATTGCATCAAACGCTGAAGACATATGCACGCGGCGCTCGGGCGAGAGCTCTTCTTTGAAAACGATATGCATGCCATCCTTGAAGCTGTTGCACACTTGAGAGACGACTACGGGCGGCGCTACGGCGAGAGCCCGCTCTCGAAGAGGCGCCGCCCTCCATCCTTGAAGCTGCTGCACACTTGTGGGACAACTGTGCGCGGCGCTCAAGCGGGAGCCGCGTATTGAAAAGATACACCGCACTCACATCTATACCCCTGGGTGGGTGTATGTGCGGCCGTTTTTGCGCTGTCATGTGCGCGCATGTGCGCGGCATGTGCCAGTCATGTGCCAGGCCTGTGCGGTCTTTCTTGGATGGACTTCCTACTGTGCACGTCGTGCCCGGGCATGTGCGGGGGCATGTGCGCTGTGTTTTGATGTATCCATCATACGCACATGCGCGCACAGTCCGACGCACATGCGCGCACATGCCTGCACATGCGGGAGGTGTTCGAGAATCACAGATCTGTCATCGGCACATGCACGCACATGCCTGTGCAACCTCTCTTCGGGAGGCCGCGCGGGCCCGCACATGCACGCACATGCGGTGAAGCGCGCGGGCGCACATGCGTGCACATCCCAATGCACATGCACGCTCATGCCCTAGGAGCTGTCTGGGACCCTTGTGCCTCCAATGCCTCCTGGCCTTCGCAGAGCTAACCTGGGGCGTGCCAGGGTTTCCTGAAAGAGTTTGTTGTGCGTTTGGACTCGCCCGCTGCTGGCGGGGGCGGTTATTCGCCCGGTTCGTGAGCTGGCGGTGGCGCGCCCGCCTAATAAAATACTCTCCCGCGCGCCTTCTCAGCTCGGCCAGAGAAGCAGGGATGGGGGGGGGAGGTGGAGGGGGGGGGGGAGGGGGGGGCGGAGGAGGCGGGCGCCCCCGGCCACTGGCCAGCCTGCCTGTTCGGCTCGGCCAGAGGAGAAGGAGGAGGAGGAGGAGGAGGAGGAGGAGGAGGAGGAGGAGGTGAGAGTTGCGAGGCTGTCTCAGGCGAAAGTGGCTTGACGGCCCGAGCTCAGGGAATCTCGGAATCGCTTGCCTGGCTCGGCCACCGGCGAGCTCGGCCTGTGCGAATACTGTGCGTACCTGTGCAGTGCATGTGCGGGACGTGCAAGAATGCCGGGGCCTGCGTTCGTCTCCGGACGCCGGCGCGTTCGCGTCCGGCCAGTTCCGCGTGAGACGTCGTCGGCAATTTGGAGGCCGACGTGCTTTGACATGAAGTGATCTGGCCACCTTCGCCTGAGACATCCTCGCAACTCTGGTCTCGGAGATGCCCTGCCCCATGGTGGCCCGGCCACTTTCGCTTGAGACATCCTTGGGACTCTGGGTTTCGAGACGCCCGGAGCTGAGGTGGTTAGACCACTTTCGCATGAGACATCCTCGCAACTCTGACCTCAGAGATCTCCTGCCCCATGCTGGTCAGGCCACGGTCGCCTGAGACATCCTCGCAAGTCTCGATTCCGATATGCCCCGAGCTGAGGTGGTCAGCCACTGTCGCCTGAGACATCCTCGCAACCCTGATCTCAATGATGCCCTGCTCGATAGTGTCTCGGCCCCTTTCGCCTGAGACATCCTCGGAACTCTGGGTTCCGAGACGCCCTGAGTTGAGGTGGTTAGACCACTTTCGCTTTAGACATCCTCGCCCGAGATGCCCTGGTTGAGCTGTTCAGGCCACTTTTGCCTGAGACATCCTCGCAACTCTGACCTCAATGATGCCCTGCTCCATAGTGTCTCGGCCTTTTTCGCCTGAGACCCTCGCAACTCTGGGTTCTGAGATGCCCTGAGCAGGTGGTCAGGCCAGTCCTGCCTGAGACATCCTCGCAACTCTGGGCTCCGAGATGCCCTGGGCTGAGGTGGTCAGACCACTCTCCCCAGAGACATCCTCGCAACTCTGACCTCAGAGATCTCCTGCCCCATGGTGGTCAGGCCACTTTCGCTTGAGACATCCTCACAACTCAGACCTCGGAGGTGTCCTGCCCCATGGTCGTCTGGTCACCTTGACCAGCGACATCCTCGCCACTCTGGTTTCCAAGATGCCCTGCCCCATGGTGATCCGGCCACGCTTGCCTGAGACATCCTCGGAACTCTGGGTTGCGAAATGCCCCGAGCTCAGGTGGTCAGGCCACTATCGCCTGCGACATCTCTGCGGCATGTGCGGGCATGTGCGTCTATGCTTTCAGAGTTTTGCTTGACCGTGCATTCGACTGTGCGTCGGACGGTGTGGCATGTGCGCGCATGTGCGGCAATGCTGTTGAGGCTTTTGTATATTTGCATGGGCATGTGCATGCGACTGTGCGGCATGTGCCTGCATGTGCGGCCCCTTCCGGACCACAATTTCAAAGTGAGCACTATAGAAGTGAGCGCTATAGAAGTGAGTCCGGTGTAGCACCGCTCCATCTTTGGAGTTGCTGCGAGCGTTTCAGGCAAATTGGCGCGGCGCCACGGCGAGAGCTCGTTTTGAAAAGTAATCGCCCTCCATCCTTGAAGCTGTTGCACACTTGTAGGTCAAATATGCGCGGCGCGAAGGCGAGAGCCGCATTCTGAAAACCAACACCGCTGCGTCATTAAAATGGCTTCGGACTTGGAAGACGAATGTGCGCGGCGCTTGGGCGAGAGTTCTTTTCTGAAAGGAAGCCGCAGTCCATCAATGAAGCAGTTGCACACATGTAGGACGATTATGCGCGACGCTATGGCGGCAGCCGCATTCTGCAAAGAGCACCGCTCCATCCTTGAAGCTGCTGCATTTTTCAATTCGTAGGACCACAGACGTTGAGCAGGTCTCAGACGAAACACCCGGCCCGCCCGACGACACGTCTGCGGGTGCGAAGGTGGGGAGGTGCCAAAGGAGGAAACAGAGGAGGAGGAGGAGGAGGAGGAGGAAGAACAGGAGGAGGAGGAGGAGGAGGAGGCAGGGGAGGGGAGGGGGAGAGCGGAGCAGGGATAATCAGGCAGGTTCCCCCTCCTCCCTTCTGCTCGCTCGCTCCACGGCCGCCGTGGCGCTCGAGCTCCAGCCAGCGCTCGAGCCTGAGACCCCTCAGAGCCAGCGGCCGCGCCCAGCCCGACGACCCGAGGCGAGCGCCCTCGGAGGCATGCCGCTGGCGTCGCTCCCGCGGCCGCCGGGGGAGGCCCAGGGCCCAAGCCTCGCCCCGAAGGCCCGCGCGGGCGACGCCGGAGGACCGGCGGCCAGCGCGGGGCCCACCCGGGAGCAGCTGCTGGGCCTGATGGAGATCGGGGGCGGCCAGGGCCCACGTCGGGGAGGGAGCTTCCTCCTCCTCGTCCTCCTCCTCCTCCTCCTCCTCCCCCTCCTCCTTCTCCTCCTCTTCCTCCTCCTCCTCCTCCTCCTCCTCCTCCTCCTCCTCCTCCTCCTCCTCTCCTCCTCCTCTCCTCCTCCTCCTCTCTCCTCCTCCTCCTCCTCCTCCTTCCTCTCCTTCTCTCCCCTCCTCCTCCTCCTTCTCCTCTTCCTCCTCCTCCTCCTTGGTACGCTGGCTCCTCCTCCTCCTCCTCCTCCTCCTCCTCCTCCTCCTCTTCCTCCTCCTCCTCCTCCCCCACAACTGCACAACATGAATACTTTTTTTCAAAATTCTGCTCTCGCTGAAGCGCTGGCTTCATTTTCGGACTACCGCTCGTTCCGAATCGTGCTCCCGCTGCAGCGTTGGCCTCATTTCCGCGCTTCCGCTCGCTCGTTCCGAATCGTGTTCCTCTGCAGCGCTGGCCTCATTTCCGCTTTTCCGCTCGCTCGTTCCGAATCGTGCTCCCGCTGCAGCGTTGGCATCATTATTTCCAGCGCCATGCCACGGCCTTGTTTTCGGTCCTTCTAGATAGGCCCCAATATCCAGCGCCATGCCACGGCCTTGTTTTCGGTCCTTCTAGATAGGCCCCAATATCTTGAAAATGCCCCCCCCCCCCCGAAAAAAACATCGGAACTGATTTCACATTCGCCGTCGAATCGTTAATTTTCTCGGCCGCAGAAGCCCCCGTCCACATTGGGGCGTCGCCACGCCATGCTACGGCATGCTACGTTTCATTACCATGTTATGCCATGTAATGCTATGCCATGCTACGACATCCGACTGTGCGAATAGAGAGGATACCTACACGCCATGGTAACGGATGGGAGGAAGAAGTAGGACGTCAGATATGACGCGAGCGCACCTAGCTTGTCCTCCTCCCCCCCGTCCTCCTCCCTCTCCTCCTTTTCCTCCTCCCCCTCCTCCTCATCATCCCCCCTCCTCCTCTCCCTTCCCCTCCTCCTCCTCCGTAGCGATTTTGGCTCAAGTACGACATCGCCAAAGGCAGCTGACCGATCAGCCCTGTTCCTTCTCCATATCCAAGACCCGCCACGGCTGCCCAGCCTGCGGTGCCGCTCCATATCTGAGCAACGAAACTCACGTGTCAACCGTTCCTAATTCAATTAATTCAATCGCAGGTATTTGGATTGGCTCTTCTTTCGCTTGGCATCGGACAGGCAGTGCGTGGCATTGCTGTTCTGAAAGATTCAGAATGGGGACCGACAGCAATCCCTCCCAAAATGATTCCAAAAGCCGCAGTCAGCCCTGTGGACATCGAGACAGACGTGATCGCCGTCGAGGCAGAACGCCGCCACGCCCGAGACCGAGACCGAGACAGTGATAGACATCAGCGCCGTGAACGCGATCGACGCCAACATTCTTCGTCTTCTGCAGATTCAAGTCCCGCACCCAAAGGCCATAGTGGACGATCGAAAAGACTCATCGTGCGAGACCCGCGTCAACCACCGTCGGGATTTCACCCAGCCGCTATTCAAGAGGAGTGGCAGCGCGCCCTGCAAGAACTTGATGCCGCACCTACATTCCCTACCCAAGAGCAGTCTGAATGATTGGCACACCAAGCTCCTCAACAGGGACGGCAACAAACTCCAAAAGCCGCCTGGCATGCAGCTGAAGCAGAAGCCGTTACCTTTCCTTCGCAAGAACAACACCAATGGCTGGTACATCAAGCCGCTCTGGCAGCTCGGCAGTCCTCTCCTATCACGGCAGTGCAGTCTCCCACAGGCCCCGCAGATGACCCATGACCACGTGTTTCAGCCCCGCCTACACCAGTTGCAGGCACAGCCACTCCAGCAGGATGGCCGCCGCAGTCACCATGGCCGCAGTCTACAGTGGCGCCAGATGTTCAATCAATTCGAGCTCAAGCAGATCATGGCTTCTCAATTCACCAGCAGCCCAGCAGCAGTTGGAAACACAGCGGTGGCATCTCAGAATCAATTCCTCGCAGCAGTACAGCGACGGCTGGATGGACAAGAACAGGATGGATGGGCAAGAACAGGATCCCATAACCATCAAAACCGCTCACGCCAAGCAGGAAGCTCATCACCAAGAGCCTTGGGACGACATCAAGCGCATCAACCAGCAGCTCAGCCTGTCTGACGCTGAAGCACCTACCCTGGATATGGCCAAACGCTCCGACTGGGATCGCGAGCCCGACCCCGCCACGTTCGTTCCCTCGTGCGCCCAGCCAGTCAACGCAGCAGCAGCTCGCAAATCACGCGTAGAATACTTGGACGCAGCCGAAGCCGCAGCGCAGCTATATCAGATACACGGCGACGGACCCAACCGGCGCTTCACATTACAAATGGTTGGAGGCCGCTTAGTCGCCACTCGCAAAATCATCGCATTCGCGCGTGCGTTTCAATTACGGGGTCGCGGAGGCAACAGCCAGTGCACGGTCCAGCCTTCAGCAGACTGCTTCATCCACCAAGGCCAATACGTCCCGCTCTGAATCGGCCCAGCTAACAACATCAGGCGCGTTCGAATGGAAACCAAAGCCAAAAAGCTCCCCGCCCTCTGTCAGACTCCCTACCCCACGCACAAGTGGCGCGCGCGTCGCGATCAAGGGCGCACCTGCCGCAACGCCACCCCCACCGCCAAATTGAAGCTCACCAGCGCGGGCGCGGCAACGGTCATTCGTTGGAATCCAGATGCGTTGTCCAGGGCGCCCATCAACGCGGCCACATCGCCGCAGAGTTTGCCGCTCTCTACAAGGCCGAGGGCACCGCAGTGGATTTTTCAAACGCTCGTCTCCCCGGCGCACTACGCCCACAGACGGAGATCACACTCGCCCCCCCGGGCTCGCAGATAGCCTTGCAGACCGCGCGCGTCAACCGCGCCACCTTCGACCCGCCCCCGACCCAGAGAGAGCCCCGCGCGAACCTGAAGGCGCCCCACTTTTTCGAGAACAAGCTCTACGCGTTCCCAAACAAGCCCCACTGCGTCATAGATCCCATCACGCGCTCGCTGCGCCACGTCTACATTCCCAGGGGGACCGGGGCGCCCCCGTTGCCCCCGGGGGACTGGAGAGCCTTCCAGATAATATGTCTATCTATGCCCAGGGGCCCGGCGCGCCACCCAGACCTCCCTGCACAGGGCTTCTTGTTCGACATGACGCGCGGCACCCTGCGCGGGCTCTTCTTCTTCCTGAACAGGACGGCCTGCTCGAGAACTCGGGGCCCAGCGACTCCCCCAGCACATCGCCATTCACCTCTACCAGCAGCGCCTCCTCTTCGAGCTCGTCTTCGGTCAACAGCATACCTACGCGATGGCGGCGGCGAAAGACTTCGCCTTCCTCGTCTTCGCCTGCGTCGTCGGGCCCGCCAGGCCGCTGCGCGCGCTGGAATACACGCGGTCTCTTATGCCATGACGACTGGAAACGTTGGAATGCGATCAGGGCGCCCTTCCGGCGCAAACGAGCCCCGGTTGTTCTCCCACAAGTGCATGGCTCGCAATTGGATTTGGAATCGCATCTCGGCAAGGCGCCCTACAACTACCGGGTCTTCTTCGATGGCTACCCTCACAATCGCGACACGGTGGACTGGATTTTCTCGCTCCTACCGATACATGCTCTACTACAGCTGTCTCTACTTGCCCCGTCTTTCATGGGCGCGCTGCAGTGTGGCGCATTGCAAATCACGTCACGGGCTTCGAAACGTTGCTTACGAATGTTCAACGTCAGGATCTGCCGGCAGCAGACGGGGGGGGGGCGACGGAAGCGCGGCGCGTTTCCAGTAGGCGGGCAGCCACAGCCCCGCAGCAGCGCCTCTTCCTCGCCATGGACGATTTTAACACCAGCGCGGCCCCTTCGTTCAACTTCGAGGATCCATCGGCGCGGTGGCGACCTATGGCACCAGACGGACAGCATCAGAGAGAACAAGCTCGCTGGCCCCAGTTCGGCCAACATTCAAACGGCCATTGACAACGATCGGATATTTGCGTTCCTGTCGGGCATCGACTTGCTGAGCGCAGACGCGAACGTCCCCCGCGACCCGTCGTGCCAGCGCCGCTTCAACTCCCCGCGGGGCAACGTCGCCAGGGCCCAGCTCGCGCCGACAGCGGCGCGGAGGCAGCATGAGCTCATCATCAAAGAAGCCGCTCGACTCACTCGCAACCTTCAATAGCGAGCCGCCCAGCATGATCGCAGTCGATGGGCGAGGCACGGCAGGCTTACTACCCTTCGTTCTATTTCGCGGACTACTTGGAGAAAGGATCTTGACACGGCCGCCCTGCTCACGGCCGCGACCGAGCTCGGCCGCTACCATTTGCGCATCACGGCCGACGGCCCCGAGCTGATGGCCCGGGGAGAGTTCATCAAGCTCGTGGGCTCCGCAGTCGAGCGCCGCGCGGCCCTCGCCACCGCGCGCCAGCAGCCCAACGCCGGGGCCCCGCCGGGCCAGGCGGGCAGCCGGAAGGCCGCCACGCAGCTCTCACCCGCCGCGCCCAGGCCTGGAACCCCTTCAGACGTCGCCTCGCACATTCAGGACTATGGACACTTAGTGGGGACGCCAAGACCACCTCTCACACCACCACTAGTTCTTCAGAAAGGATCTTTGGAGGCCCCCAAAAGTTGTGGCAGCCAATTTTTTCGAACGAGATCGTGGACCCCACGGCGGCCCAGCGCTACTTCGAAAAGCACCTTCCCGAGGTCGACTGCGAGGATCATAGCGCTCCAGCTCTCAAGGATTCCCAGAGGGCCCTCCACAAAGCAAGACGCACAGCCCCTGGGCTTGATCAGAAACCCTACGCCGCGCGGGCGACGAGCCCAGGCCCCCCCAGATCCCCTACGACCTGACGACGCAGATGTTCGAAACAGGACTCGCCCCACAACAATTCAACGACTCGATATTCGCCTCTTGACCAAGAAGAGGAGGGGAGCCCTAGGACCCCTACGCCGCCTTTCGCGCCCCAGGGGCCACTCACCCTCTATCGCCGTAGAATTGCGCTGCTAAGGTGATTGCCCACGTCGCGAATATGAGCTTGGCGGACATGGGCAGGGACCGCACGGTAGACGCGCGGCAGAGGCTCGTCAAAGGCAGAAGCTTCGGACAACAGGCTCTGGCACAAGATTCGGAGGCACGTAGAGCAGGACGCTCCCCAGACGCCCTAGGCCCCCTCCCGATTTTAATCAGTTTTGACGTAAAAGCTGCAATCCCATCGCTTGGACGAGAGTTCCTTTTTTGCAGCCCCTTCAGCCCGCGGAATCCTTCCAGGCTACCGTAGTGTTACGCATGCCCTGTATCACTCCCCTGGACCCTGGGCCCGTCTAAGCGGCCGGCATCAGTGCACGTTAGAAATCGGATCGGGGACGCTCCGGGCTGCCCCCTTTCCAGGACCCATTTGTGCTCTAGCCTTCGGTGCCCTATCCGTCACATGCTAGCGATTGTGCGCATTCTTCCAGGATCAGACAAGCTCGGGGCCTGCGCAGATGATCTGGGCCTCGTCCATGCTCGCCCAGGGCCCCCCCCCGCACCCCCCACTTTTTTCTCGCAGGACTAGAGCTTCACGTCCAGAAGACTGCGATTGTGTCCCTGCGGGCTGCCTTCTCGCCTGATGCCCAGTCTTTCACCCAGTGCCCCATCGCCTTTCTCACCCCCGAATGGCAACGCATTCAGATTGCAGCATGCGCCCGCTATCTAGGCGTGCCCATTAGTCCAGAAGCGCCCCTGGGCCCCCAGTGGAAAGCAGCCCTTGACAAATACAAGTCGCGGACAATGCACCTGGCGGCCAGCGCCCCAGGCCCAGTGGTAGCAATCAAGCTGTACAAGACTTGTCTTATCACCGTCCTCTCCCACCTCACTCAGCATGTTCCATGTCCTGAACCTGTTCTCCGACACGAACGCGGCACGCTGCGCATGATCTTGCGAGCACCCCCCAATTCCTGGCGTTTCGTCGACCTCCTCGGTACTCGCTCGTGGTCGCATTCGTCCCCCCCCCCTCATGTGCAATTCAATTGTCATTGGCGTCGGCATGGCGTGCTGCCGCAGCCACATTGCCTAATTGGACACCGCATGTTCAAGCTCTGCAGCGCGCACAGGATCAACTGAATCCAGAAGTTTCCCTTGCGGACCTGGCCCAGGCCCACATTCGGGCCACCGTCTCCCCTGTGTTTTGGAAGAGCCCGAGCATCGTGGGCTTCTGGCGTTCCCTCTCTGATGGTCTGCCACCGCACAAAGTATCACAGACACTGTGGCGCTGAGCAAGGCGAGCGGCTGAAGACGAGAAATCATCGGCGGCTCGAGATTCACGGCGTGCCAGGGTCCAGCGAACGCTCGCCTCGCTCCTCCACGCCTCCTTCTAACCCGACAAGTTCGCAGAGGCACTGGCGCGCCGTCTGACTGCTGCGCTCCCCGACCTTTCGCTGCCAGCCAATCTCCACGAGCGTTGGCAAGCTCTGCCGAACACTTGTCCCGCAAGGCGCCAGCGATCCGTTGGGCCGTGTAAGGGACGCTCGCAGGAGCGCGGTGGACCAGCCACCGTTTTCCGTTCGGCCCGCGCCAGACCTTTCTTTTCGGATGCGGCGCCTGCCCAGAACGTGTCGGCCATTACCTCGCCCTACCTCGTGTTGGCCTCGGTTTAGGGACGACTGAGCAGCACGCTAATCCTGAGCGCGCCACTCCCGAAGCTGTCCGCAGGACAGCGCTTTCATTTCACTTCTATAACAAGCTGCGTGTGATCACGCTCGCCGCGCCCAGCGCCGCGCTTCTTTCACACCACAGGAGAGGAGTGCCCTGCCACTGCGCTGCACGCGATGAGGCCATAGACGCTTGCTGGACTGACGGAAGGCACGGTCACTCCTCCTCCTCTTCCTCCTCCTCCTCCTCCTACTCCTCCTCCTCCTCTTCCTCTTCATCTTCCGCCGACACATCGGCGCGTATGGCCCGGGGGGCGGCCAGACCGGAGAGGGCGGCCAGATCGGGGATTGGGCCTCCCAGAGGATGCTGAACATCAAATGCCCAGAATCAGCCAACCTGGAACGATCAATCGATCGGAGGATCTGGATCGTTCAAAATCGAGCGATCCAATCGGTGTGAGAAACCAACGCCGGGTTCGGCACGACGCGAACCTGTCGTAGGCTTCCCATAGGGGGGGTCCGAGTAGATGTGGTCGGTGGATCGCGCCGCATAGCCAATGCATGGGCAATGCGGCTCGACGTGGAGCCCTGCTTTCTGCACGCTGGGGTCGCCGACGCATCGGCGGTGCATTGGCGATACGGCGCGATCTTCCGACCCCATCGACTAGGACCCCTAAGAGGCCTTTACAAGAGGGGAGTTATGACCATGGGGAGGTACAAATCATGGCCGCGGCCGCGATTCGATGAGGCCGTAATGGATGCGGAAATTGTGGACACAAGGGCCACGAGAGGGCGTCGCCGCGGACGCTGCTGCCCAACAGCAACCGCTGTCCGATGTTGGAGAGTATACGCATTCCGGGCTTGCCAAATGATTTCTCCCCGGATGTCATGGCCCCCTTTTTTCGACACTCGTTGGTCCCTCCTGCGTCCGCGCACATACCTCGGGCCATCACTGGCGAAGCCCCCTCTTGGGCGCCCCCGAGGAGAGCATGGAGACCGCGGGCGCCGTGCTCGACGTCGTCAGCAAGCACCGGCCGAGGTTCACGGCCGAGATGGTCGCGGAGGCGCTCCGCCTCGTGGCGCGCAAGCTCCCCTCGGCGCAGCACGGCCACCACCTTGTCCTGCGGTGGGTGGAGGACTGCGGCGGCCTCCTCTGCAGCCACTGCCGTGCTCCACAGCAGGGTTGCGTCGTGTCGACGCGCGGCGACCCCGTCGCGGGCGTCCAAGGTTGAACATCGCCGACGGCCCAGAATCGGCCAGCATGGAACGACCAAGCGATCGGAGGGTCCCAATCGGTGTGGGAAGCCAGCGCCGGGTTCGGCACGACGCGAACCTGTCGTCGGCCTCCCAGATGGGGTCGGAGTAGATGGGGTCGGAGGATCGCGCCGCATCGCCGATGCATGTGCGATGCGGCTCGATGTGGAGCCCGATGTTCGAAACGCCGACGCATCGCCAACGCATCGCCGATGCATCAGTGATGTATTTGCGATGCGATGCAATCCTCCGACCCCACGTGCTCCGACCCCATCTGGGAGGCCCCCGAGGACTGCGGTGGCTTCCTCTGCAGCCACTGCGGTGCCGAAGTGTGTGGCCGCCGCGATGCATGTTTCGGGTGCGACTCCTGCGAATTCGACCTTTGCTGCCCCTGCCTCTGGGAGTATCTGAAGAGCGCGCAACCGTGTATCTGAGCTCTCGGTTTGCGTGGCTCGTCCGCCGCATGCCCTGCTTTTCTGGAATTCGGGCTGTACCCTAGAGGCGGATGCTGCCAGAGGTGGCCATGGCCGAAGTTGAGCCAAGTTTTTGTCCGGCACGGCCGAGATGGCCTCCAGAGCGACCCTTGCGAGGCCCGGACGGCCCAGGGAATGCAAAATGATAGCTCGAAAAGTTGGGGGCCCTTTGGGTCAGGGGCACTTTGGGCCAGTGTCACCTCTGGCGAGGAGGGGGCCCCGGGCTGCCTGGCTTTGAGGAGACGGGTGCCTGTTGAGGAGGTCGACTCCGAGGGCATGTAGCCGCGCACCCGTTTTCCACGACTACGCGTAGTCGCCTATGATCGAAGACGCCCACGGCGAGTCACCGTCGCCCCCCGCCTTTTGGAAACGCCCGTGTCATGCGATGTCCGGTGAAGGTGCCGCAAAGCTAGTGGACTGCGCGTCCCACCAGCTCGGGTGTGAACTCTTTCGCCCCTGAGCGGCCTGGTCTTCTCAGGAGGGGAAAAAACACAGACACAATTAATCGGCGATTCCCAGAAAATATAGGAAAATATGGGGGAAGTGGGGGGGAAGACAAAAACCCAGAAAATATGTGAAAATATGGGGAATATTTCTATTTGTGTGTATTTATTTGTGCGTCCCAGTTCCCCTTCATCTTCCCCCTCCCCCCCCGCGGCCACCCGCCCTGCCTCCTCCCCCTCTTGCATGCTGGCACAGGTTCGCTTTCCGGCGCCCCCAGTCTAGCTTCTGCGCTCGTGCAGCCGATTCGGCCTCGCCGCCGACGGAAAAGTGCTCCCCCAGCTTGTGTGGAGACCAGCGGCGGGACACTGGGCATTGGGCCCTCCGCGGCCGTCTCGGCGCTGTATCGGTCCTTTTCTTGCCCCCCTTGCGCTTTCTCCGAGGCCTCCCGGAGCCCTCTTGGGCCACTTTGGGGCTCTCTGGGGTGAAATTAGGGCGCTACTGGGCCGTCGGGCGCTCTCGGGGGCCGTCCTGTGGGCCTCGCTTGGCCGTCTTAGGGCTGACGGAGAGGGCGCGTAGCTTCGCGATCCGTTCGTTGGGGGAAGTAATAAATCGGAGTGTGAGTGGCCCCTTCTCCCCCCTGAGTAGCCCCTTCTCCCCCCCCATCTCCGCGGCCGCCCTGCCTCCCCGCTTTTCCCCCATCCTGCGCGCTGGCCGACGTGCTCTCTGCGGCGCCCCCCGTCCAGCTCTCTCCCTCGCTGGTGCAGCCGACTCCGCCTCGCCGCCGGCGGAAAAAAGGAGCGCAAGGAGGTTGGCCTCGACATGCCCAGATCTGATGGCACAGAGTATTGGTCACTTGCGGCCCTGGAGCCAAGAGCGCCCCAGAGGGCCCCAAGAGGGCCCAAGGCAGTCCCAAGAGCGCCCGAGCTACCGCCACGACGGCCTCAAGGAGGCCCACGAGGGCCCCGAGGCGGCCCGAGAGCGCTCGAAGCGGGCCCGAGATGGCCTCCAAGACGGCCAAAGAAAGCTCGATGACGGTCCACGAGGCCTCCAAACGGACGCCCCAGAGGCAAGAATCGTCCAATTCCCGCTGGAAAGCGTACATTGTTTGCATGTGTGCATCTTCGGTACAGCGTCCACGACGCCCCAAGAAGCCCCCAGGATCGCCCCAAGACCGCACAAGAGGTCCCCAAGAGCGGCCCCAAGACGGGCCCAGGACGGCTCCAATGAAGGCCCAACAGGTCCCCAGGAAGGCCCAAGAGTGGCCTCTGAGGGCCCCGAGAGAGCGCAAAGATGGCCACAGGAGGTCCCCAAGGGGGCCCCAGAGAGCTCCGAGAGGGCCCCAAGAAGGCCCAAGAGGGCCCCAGGATGACCCAAGAGGGCCCCAAGACGGCCCCAAAAGAGCCCCCAAGAAGTTCCGGAGGGGCCATATTCACTGATGTTGGCAAAGGTGGTTGTTAGTTTTGTATGGCGTACCAAAGTCTTAACAGCAAGAGGGCTCCACGACACTGAGCAAGCGATCTCGCGCCCTCACAGAGTACGAGCGCTTTCTGCCCCCAGGCCAGGCAGGTATTTAACGCCGGATCAAATGACATTCGGCCTATCCCTCCAGGGTACATGTGTCGTCGACCAGAGGTCCGTTAGAGGCTTTCTGGGGTCTCTTGGAAGGCCTCTTGGATACCACTTGTTGTGGATCGGGGCCTCCTGGGTTCTTCGTGGGGGCCTCCTGGGTTCTTCGTGGAGGCCTTTGGGGCCCCATTTGGAGGGCCTGGAGGCGGTCTCGGGGGCCATCTTGAGGTGGAGGGCCGCAATGACGAACCCTTCTGGTTCCCCTGGTTAGGCCCCTCTTGGGGGCCGCTTGGGCTGTCTTGCGCGCTCTTACGTTCGACAAGGATAACTTGCGATGATACGCAAAATCCCAGTGTGCCTCAATGGTCTGTCAGGAGGGGAAAATACACACAGACACAAGTAATCGTCGATCCCCAGGAAAACATGGGAAGCGTGGGGGAGAAGACGAAGACCTCCCAAAAGTGGAAAATACCTAGGGAATCCGGGCATCTGTGTGTATTTGTTTGTGTGTGTGTGTCCTTGGGCCCCTTCAGGATGTGCCTCAACGGTTTGGGCCTCTTGGCCTGGGCTCCCGGGCTCGAGGCTGGCCCACGAGGCCCTCAGGAGAGTCCCATGACGGCCCCCGCCGGACTACAGTCGGGGCCCTGAAGAAGGAACCCTTTTCGTTGGGGAGGGGCTCCGCGTTCCTTATAAGTGTTTCGCCGCTTGCCTCGGGTTTTCCCTAAGTCTTCGATCGGAAATCGAAGTTCAACTGATGGAAAAAAAAGGGGCCTCGTTCCTTATGTAGGGTTCCTTCGGTCAAGGCCCCGACTGTGGTTCCGTAGCCATTTTGGCTCAAGCCGGTCTCAAGCCCCTGGTTGCCATCTGCCTCCGCTCATGGCCGGTCCGGGTGCAGCAGCTGCTTGAGGAGATGGTGACGGGAGGGGACCCCCGCAGGTCCCCACGCTCACGCGCGGAGCGCAGCGAGGCTGCGCGGCGGGCGCGCTCGGCGGCGGACGCCGCCGTGCGGCATGCCCGAGCGCGGGTGGAGGAGCTCGTGGAGCGGCTGGCCCTCGCCGAGAGGACGCTGGAGGCCTTCACGGGCGATGCTGAGCTGGCCGACAGGCTCGCCGCGGTGGTGCCTGCGCTGGTCGCGCTGGTCAACGGCGAGCAGCCCTCCTGGCTGGCGCGGCTCAGGAGGAACGTCGCGCTGCACGCCAAGGCGGGCGCCATCAAGGGGCGCATCGCAGGGGCGGCGGCGAACGAGCTCAGGAAGGCGCAGAAGCAGGAGCGCCTCGGGAAGCCCCCCTTCCTCAACCCCTCGGCGACGGAGGAGGTGCACGAGGACAAGGCGGGGGCCGCGCAGAAGCAGGGGCATGCGGCTCGGCAGGTGCAGAGGATGCTGCACGAGAGAGAGCTGCCCCAGGCAGCGCCCGAGGACGTCCTGGGCGCGAACTGGCTGGCGCCAGGCTGCTGGCAGCCAGGCGACCCCGAGCTGGAGGCGCGGGCCTTCGGAGAGGGATTCGCATGTGGCTGGCGGCTGGCGGCGCGGCGCGCGGAGGCCTCGGAGGGTCCCCCTGCGGCTGAGGCCACGCAGGTGGTGACCATCTGGACTTGCTGTCTGGAGGCGGGGACGCGGCCCGAGATGCACGGCATCGGGATCGAGCTGCAGCGCCTCCCCAAGGACAACCAGGCCCCGCCCGAGCCCACGGCGGCGAGCGACCACTCGATAGAGTACGGCGTCCGCCTGGGCCCCACGCAGCGGCAGCAGGGCATCGACGGCGATGGCGAAGTGCTGCCGCTAGCGGCCGAAGGCGGGAGCGGCGGGCCGCAGCTCGAGGGCCCCCAGGGCGCTGCGGCCGCCCGCGCCCGCGGCCTCGCCGAGCTCTACGCCGCCTTCGTGGAGGAGATCGGGCGCTGAGCGGTGGCGGGGCCCTAGAATGCCTGCATGAAACCGCCGTGCTCGCGCGGCGCCTACACAGATAAAAAAAAAGGCCCCGATTGTACCTTCAGGCCCTCCGGAAGCCTCAGCCGCGAGCCACGGTGCCGAGGCCTCGGACCCCGGCAGCGCGCGCGGGAGGGGCGCCCAGAAGTCGTGGAAGCTCGCGGGCCTGGCCCCCCACAGGGCATGCACCGTTGATCGGCCGCGCGCAAAGGGGGGGGCGGAAGGAGGAGGAGGAGGAGGAGGAGGAGGAGGAGGAGAGGAGGGAGGGGGGGAAGGCCAAACTGGGGCCTCCCCCCCCCCCCTCTCCCAGTTGCTCTACCATGCATCGCGTACCCTTTCGGGATTATTGCCCTGCTCGACATCCGCCTGTGCGAGTAGAGAGGGGATCTGCGCCATGGTAAGGGATGGGAGGGAGGGGCAGGATGTCAGATGTGACGCGAGCGCACCTAGCTTGCCCGGCCCCCCCTCCCCCTGCCCCCCCCCTCTGCGCGCCGCCGAGCGGAGGCGCTCCAGAGGGGGCCTCGCCTTCGAGGGCCGAAGGAGCTGCCAGCGCCCTTCGTCGGCGGAGGGCGGCGGAAGTGAAACGGGGGCGGCTCCGCCAGTGGAAACCGGCGGAAACGGAGCGCCCGCCTCCGCAGAGGCGGGGGCGCGTGAGTGTGGAGTCGTGGCAGCCCGCGTCTCGACTCGCGCCCCCGTCTAGGGTCCATCTCGTGTGGCGAATGGACATCTCACGCGCCGGCTTCGGTAGGTTTCAGCAGACCCCGGGTTAGGCGTCCTCCTGCAGGCCCTTGGGCGCGGTGCTTTGAAAAAGGAACCGGCGCGCGGAAGCCAGTGAGGGCACCAGAGACGGGGGCACAGCAAACGGGGGCGCGGGGAACGCCGATTTCCACCTACGGTGGGGGCATTGGATCAGGAAAACTTCGACAAGGAATCCAGGGTCTCGAGGCCAGTGGACCAATCGCGGATCGGCAGTGGACAGCACCGCCGCCCTCATCAGAAGAAGGAACCCTCCAGGGCTTGAGGCCTC